ACTCGAGACCTTCAGGTGGGCAACAAATCCTTTAAAATGGGTGGGTGTTTTAGAGCAAGATTCTCTAAAATGCCCAGACTGCTTCATCACACTCACATTCTGACCCAGCTTGGACTAATGGGATAAGGATGAAGGTTCTTATTGTAGTGGTGGAAGTAGAAACAAAAGCATTTTTTACAGATGTGCACCTCCAACGTGGAGAATAAATCACTCATTTAACTCACTGCAAGTGCATTTGATTTGAGAGGAAGTCACTGAAAGTTACTCAGCAGTTTAAGTCCTGCCTTTGACCTTTATATTGTAAAAAGATTAACCTTTTGACTGAACCGTCTGCTGATGCACACGTCCAACAGTTACAGTGCCCGTATGTACAAACCATAGCATAAAAGTGATGGGAAATAGTTAAGGTGGAAAAGAGTTTATCAGTTCCTAAGAGCAACAACTTGACAGCCTGGATTGAGAATCAGGTGCCCTCCGGATCCGGTCCTGCTCAAAAAATGGTGTATTTTTTATTCTACGCATTCTGTTCATCGTCCAGTGTGTCCCATCTCTGAATGTAACTAAGACAACAGCTGTTTTAGTGTATCAATGAAATTAACAAAATAGTCCTCTTAACGTACACACATTAAGGCATAATTGATCCAGAAGAGAGAGGAGAAACAAAAAAGAAAAAAGCACAGCACAAAGAACAACTTAATGTGAATCAAAACCAAGCACACTCCTTTTCAAGGCTTTGCCTCCAAGCCCAGCACCGCTCACAATCTGAACGTCAGTAGCAAAGAAACAGTCGTGAGGACTGTTTCTTTGCCTACAGTGTCCAACAAAGTATCTGGCATGACCCTCCCAGCCAGATACTTGACTGTTGATACTGGATCAGTCTTGGAAAGGAGAAAATCTCTGCTGCAGAACTCCAGAGGACAGCAGAAAGACAGGTGAATGGGGAGTAGGCAGATGGACTGACAGGAAGCCACAGACATACGCGACGATCCGGATCCCTGGATCACTGGATGACTTCAAAGTAGTGCAAGATGGCCATGATGTGCTGTGGCATGAACACATAGCCGGTGTATATGGCCATACCAGCCACAGAGATCAGCAGGGAGTCTGAAGAAGAGACGTTAAGGAGGAATTTCTGAAGACATTCAAGTTTTACTGCAGGGAACCACAAACAAACTGATGCGCCTTCAACAATCAGTAGCTGGTAATGTGATTTACATCCAACAAACACTGCCTGCTAATGGATACAGGCTGGCAGCCAGTTACACCTGCATGCAAATGTTTGGCCACCAAACAGTCAGTGACCTATTTTCCTGGTTTGTGAATAGAAAAGATATCAATACAAGCCCTGCAAAATGTTAACTGGCTTATATAACAGCTGTGGCTAAAGTGTCGACACAAAGTCTCAGAATTTCAGTAAGTCAAACTTTAGTGGTAAATCTTCAAGCAACTGGAAAGAATTTCAAACTCGTTCGGCAGGATTTACATTCCAGAAAGCAGGGAGGAAAAAATATTTGAAATAACTTTAAAACTATGTACAGAGATAGCCACAATAATGCTCTCAAAATCACACTATTGAGCGTAAAGCATGTTTACACGCTTTATAATTACCTTGCTAATGTAAACAGGAAAGCAGACTGTTACCATCATTTTGCTCAAAGCATGCTCCAATAGCCATTTTCATTGTTGAATGTCCTTGCTGATAGCTATCATATAAGATCACCACTACACAAACAGGCAAGTTGCAGAAGGCTGTGTAACTCTTATACTTGCTGCTTTCCACAGGCAGCATCTTCCAGTGGGAATATGTGACACTGTTGTCTTGCCTGACAAAATTACTGTGCTTACAAGAAAAATTAGCAACCGCATCACACACACACACATCTGAAAGCTCCTGGTTCTTCAAGGACAGAAACTGCTGCATCTTACATGATGAATATACATTTTTAACTTATGACTCAAAAAGATCATTTACAGTACCAGGAAACTTTAGGTGGAGGAACTTCAGTGTTTATTTTTGCTCCATTTAGCTGTAAATGTTGTACTAAACAGATTTTAAACTTGTGACAGGATGTTTTGCAATGAAAATAACCTTGGAGGTCACAGCTCTCTACAGAGCTGTACACCTTCTATCAAGTGACCAGATATTTCCTAACAGGTTTGTCAACCAAGAAATTTTGTCAGTCACTGACATTTTCCAACGCTCATTCACTTGCCATTCCTGAAAGGAAAAGAAACAGGAAAAAACCCAAACCCTTAAATACTTACAAAACCTACAAAAGTCTCATCAGCCACCGGAAGTTAAGCTCATCGTAGCCATAATCTGCTTCCTGTAGATCAACAATAAAATAACCAGTGTGATCCCTGAGCGACTGCGTTACGTTATTTGATGAGATGCAGGCCGATAAGGAGCAGGAAGACACAGTAACACACCTGACCCTCGGAGGGAGACGAGATACACCCCGACAGTGACGCCAACTGTACAAGACAATACCTCACGCACAGAACGTGATACTGATGACTTCCTGCACTGCCACAGATCAAAGTAGTCATAAAACCACCAACAAGGGGTACACTCTAATTATTAACTTCGCTCAGTTAACATTGTTTGCGTTTTTTAAAAGTACAAAATTAAAATAAAGGTCATACGTAACGTGTATGTACTTCACGCGACAATCACCTGACCGACTCTAAAGTAGCTAAAGCTAGCTTAGATGCCTCCCAAAGAGTCAACTAACCGGTCAAAGCTGGACTTGAAAGCTTGTTTTGTATATGAAAGGCAAAGTACACAGCGCTACAACAAAGTGTGAAACATTATTTAATTTATCAATGAAAGGAATTTGACGCTTTACTCAAGTCTGTCACTACAAACACGTTTCTTTATGTTATGTCAACTAGGTTATGAACTAGGAAGCGGTTTACGCACACATCGCTCCAGTTTTCATCCGTTTATACACAAATCAATGACAGATTAAAACACATAACTTGTAGAATAACATTTAGAGCCGTCTCTACAATGTGGCGGATGAGTGTTCAATTCAGAATTGACTAAGCTGTGAACTCTTTAGCTTTCAACGATAACGAGGGCCGACTCGGTCTATATGCCGCATTTGCCATAAATCACCGCTCATGTGTTAAAATGCTGTAAATGGTTTATACAAACAACTGAAGCTATGTTTACTTTTACGTAAAGTTAGCGCTATCAGTGAAAGATCTAGGTCAGTCAGGCTAGCGTTCGGCTAAAGGTAGCAAATTAGCTCGGTAGTACATCCCTTCAGAAGCCACTTCAACACGGAAAAAGGATACTGAACACCGTCCTCTCCCAGGGCTCCAGCATGTACAAGGCTGTCACCAGAAGATACTGGTAGTAAAACCAGGATAACTGCTTCCAACACTCTCCAAGTGCCATGGTCCAACTTTTAAAATCAACTTTGTTCCTTCCTCGCGGCTCTTATCCTCTTTATGTTTCGTGGTGAGGTGTTTTGTGCTCACGTAAGGTTTAATCGCGAGGCGCTGGTTTCCGGCAAATCACAACTCCGCGTTCAACCGTATGATTGTGACGCAGCCAGGGTGTTCCACCTTCCTAATTTCAAAATAAGAGTCAAAAGTAACTTTCAACACCACATCAAAGATGGATTTATACTGTTTCAGAACAGCAGCTCTATTTTTATTTGCTTTTTTTTTTATCTTGCTTTGCCTTAACCGAGTGGCCATCTTAGTGTATTTTCTTTCCATTAAGCATCAAATATCTTGGTTCTTTAAAACAGATTTTGAGTCACTCCCCAAACTAAAGCACTCTACTGGCCCAAACACTCACTAAAACACTAAATGTGTATCATTCCATGGCTGAATAGATTCCCCAACAAAATGCTATACTCCCCAGTTTGAAACACATTTTCTTAAGAAGTACAGATATTTATGAAATCAGTTAACTACCAATTAAATGTCAGGAAACTATATTATGATCATACCAACTGTGTACAAGTGAGGCAGACAAAGCACTGTCTCTATTCCTACAATTCTGATGGACATCAGAACATTTACTTACCGAAGCCATAACTGTGGCAGCATGTGTATGCTGAAAATTACCCATCTCAGACGAGATTATTTGTCAAGGAAAAATGATGTAGCCTTTCAAAAGTTTCAGAAAATTGTATTTTTTTGCATTTTAAAAAATAAAAACAGCAGCAAATGTAAAACTTTTAGAAGTCTCAAGTTTTTCAGTGTCAGTGTGATTTAGTCTATATTATTTATGGTCAATTACACAGGCCAAATTAGCATGTTGGCAAAATTGCAAAAACACACTGATAGTCGTAGAAAGTTCTGTGGCTGCTCTACTAACAATGCACAATAATGACCAGCATTCTAACTACAGCGGTGCAAATTGGTCGAAAACAAGCAGACACTATGAGTGTTGAAGTATTCTGCTAATAAAATAACAAAAAATCTAATAAAACAAAGCACAGGTTTGATCATGCTCTTGTTAATATAAACAGCATTGTAATTCAGATTAATGAGGGGAAGCTAAAGGAAAATCAATATGTTTTAATATAGGGGCAAACTGTCCTGTCAGAAATTGATGAGGAATTTGTGCAATCAAGTGGGAGGAGGTGAAGTGTAGGATTCATCCAGAGGAGAGCTGCATTATGAAATCTAAATGCGACAGCTGAAATTGTGTGACCAATTTAAATTTTCTACTCCCAACATTTTTTGCTCTCCAAATTACACACGCAGTAAGACAAGACACAAGAACACCGGCGTCAATGGCAAAAGGTTGTGTTCAGGCGCAGCACTTAAAGTTTTACAGACATGAGCTGGGACATTTTTTCTAATCCTGAAAAGGATTTCATTTTTGTTACCTGTTGAACAATGTGTTCAAAATGTGTATGATAAACATGATCAGGCGACTGATCACAGACTGATTTGCCATCTCAGCCGTGACGCTGAAGCAAGAACGCTGTCACGACTGTTGTAACTGCTGTAAACACAACACTGACAAGTTATCACTGGCGCCATGATCTTATTTGCAAAAAGAAAAAAGAAGATGGACATTTACACATCCTGCAAATACAGAACAATAACAGCGTTAATTTAAAGTGATGAGCACACATCCAGTGTTCACTCCCCTTCAGCTTTGCTTTGGTGAGCATTTTAGATATAAAGACAATGATCTGAGCCACGAGGTGTGAAGTTAGAGACAAAGTCCAGCTCAGACCTCGTTCAGTCCTTGTCAGCAGTGGCTGGCCAGGATGTTGAAGAAGTGGTAAACCTCATCTTTATCGAACACGGCCACCTCAGTGGAGCACTCAGAGCACTGCACCGGGTGGTACACCTCATCAGCTTCCATCCCCATTGCTGCTGGAGTCTCATCCGCAGGCGTCTCTGTCTGCTGTCCCCTCCTCCTCTTCCTGTTCCTCCGGTTCTTCTCCGGCTGGTTTTTGTAACGCAGCACCTCCTCTCTCTTGACTGTGCAGTTCATCACAAACATTGCTCGATACTGCGTGCGGTACTTCTCGTGCCTGAACGGACACAAGAGAGATGTGTCGTTACATTTTAAAAAGACAAAATCTCTTCAAACTAATGAACGTTTCTCTTACAATCACTTCAAATCTTTCTTTAAAACAAACAAACAAACAACAAACAACAAAAAACTGATGTAGAGTATGAAGTGACTCACATGCCTTGTGTTGTCAAAACAGCTTTGACTGTGATACTATGATCCCTAATCTAACAATACGGACAGTGACATGTAATGGGAGTTGGGCAATGGCCTGTTGGCTCTCCTTAGTCAGCAATAACTAGTTTTTATTCATGTTTTCATCACATATTTAATCATTCCAGCTTTTCAAACATGGGAACTAGTCCTGTGCATATATGAAAACATGAGTGTAGCTTTGGTGTCAGTGAAGTAAAGCTTAAATGGAAGTGGATTAACCTGCATTTTTTGTAATGGCCAGCAGGGGGCGAGTCCTAGCTTTGCGAAAAGGTTTCGTTGTTTGAAGTATATGGCTAAACTGCCCTCAGCAAGGACATTCTGGATAAGTTAAATCACCAAATTAAAGTCTTAAGGCTCCAGTACACCCTCTGCATTGGTCGCTTCACACGCTGCAGCAAGCGTATCACGCA